GTCGAAGCTCAGCAGCGGGAAGGAAAAGGGACAATTAACGACCGTAATCCGGCAGGTGCTGTCAAAGCCTTCAGTGGTATACCTGGCTATCGGAAGGGACGGTGAGGAGGATTGGCGAAACAAAATTCGCAAATTGATACAAGAACAAGACAACGGATGCCCGGTCTGACTAGTGGACGCCCGCAAAATTTCAAGATATGTCATCATAGGGGACAACCTCTACAAAAGGGGATTTTTAACTCCTCTTCTCAAATGTCTGGATCGCCCGAAGGCGTTGTACGTGTTGGACGAACTCCACGATGGCATATGCGGCTTTCACACCGACCACCGCACCCTGAAGGCCCGCGTCATCCGAGCAAGCTATTACTGGCCAACGATGGAGGAAGACGCCAAGAACTTTGTTCATAAGTGTAGGAAATGCCAAGCCCATGCTAATATCCCCCAGGCTCCCCCAAGCAAGTTGCATACTCTAGTCTCACCATGGTCGTTCGCCCAGTGGGGAATGGACATTGTAGGACCTTTCCCACCCGGACGAGCACAAAAGAAATTCATCTTAGTCGCCATTGACTATTTCACCAAGTGGGTAGAGGCCGAGGCCCTCGTGAGAATAACGGCCCAGCAAGTTCAAAAATTTGTATGGAAGATAGTGTGCCGGTTTGGCCTCTTACCAACGGTAGTGACCGACAATGGTAGGCAATTTATTGACAGAAAGCTAGGATCGTTTTACCAAGGTCTGGGAATTAAACATGTTACGAGTTCGGTGGAGCATCCCCAGACGAACGGTTAGGCAGAGGCTATAAATAAGACAATAGTGGCTGAGCTTAAAGAGATTGGGAGAGAAAAAGGGCGCATGGGTGGACGAACTCCCTGAAGTCTTGTGGGCGTACCGGTGCACCTCACATGGGACCATCGACGACACCCCGTTCGCCCTCACTTACGGCACTGACGCCATGTTACTAGTAGAATTGGGGGAACTCTCCTTGCGGCGACAGCCCCAAGACCCTCTACTCAACGACAAAGAACTTAGAGTAGAGCTGGATACTCTGGAAGAACGTCGCGATCGAGTAGTCCTTAGGGCAGAAGCCTGCAGACGAATGGTGGAGAGAAAATACAACAGTAAGGTACGACCCCGAAGCTTCAATGAAGGCGACCTGGTCTGGAGGAAGACGGGAGACGCACGAAGAGCGCCAACCCATGGCAAGCTTGCGGCAAAGTGGGAGGGGCCCTTCAAGGTAACTGAAGACCTTCAAAATGGAGCATACTGTCTTTCCCACCCGAATGGCAAGACCATCCCTAATACGTGGAACCCCTCACACTTAAAATTTTACTTCAGTTGAATTTGTCTTTGTAATAATATCTTTTTCATTTCAGATATATAATGCAATGCTCCAAGTTTTCACTACTCGCACTACTTAACTATCGGCGCATTAACCAGAAACTGGGCGGTTCATAAAGAGAACCCCTGTCGTCCAGCACGAAAATTGGTAATTGGGTGGTGAATGGCGAGTTCATAAATAGAACCACTGCCACCCAAAAGCTAATAAACCGAACAGGTGGTGAATGGCGAGTTCATAAATAGAACCACTGCCACCCAAAAGCTAATAAACCAAACGAGTGGAGAATAGCGAGTTCATAAATAGAACCACTGCCACCCGAATCCAGAACTAACAAAATGATCAAGAGGCGAACTACTAGTTCATAAAAAGAACCCCTGTCGTCCGACGTGCAGAACAGCGAATCCAATCATGGAGTTAGTACACTTAAGAAAAATAAGTTCATAAAATGAACTCCCATACCGAACGGTCGAAACCCAACAAAGCCTCTTAGCAGCATAACTTTCAAAAAGCATAAAGTATCTTAAACGGAAGATAAAGTAAACGGTCAACTGATAAAGCACAATTTAAAAAAATATACTTCAAAGTTCTTTGATAATAATTCAAGTTTGTAATTACAACCAGGATTGAACGGCCACCGGCCGGTAAACAAACCAATATAACCCCTACAAAAAGCAAAAAACACTACCCCCCATGCTCAATCACTCTTCATCGTCCCCGTCCGGACGCACGTCTTCTTCAGCTGCCACATCCTCATTAACCGGCAAAGTAATAACTGGCATCATCTTCCTGTCGTAGACGTCTTGGCCGATGTCGAAATCAGCGGCCAAGGGATCCGCCCCCAACAGAAAAGTCGCCTGATGGAGGGCCTTATTGAAGCCCTCCTCATGATCAATTTGAGCATTGGTGTTCAAAGTGGCAATGGCCTCGTTGGCCCTTTCCACCTCTTCGATCAGGCGGTCCACCTTACTCTGCAGCTCTTTGTCCCTTTCCGCCAGCTGCCTTGCCTCCAGCTTAAGTCGCCCAGCTTCCTCAACTATCCGGTCGCTCCTCGACCAAGTGTCCTTCAGTTGTTGGGCGGTTGTGCTCAGCTCGTCATGTACCTCGTCCATTTCCTCTTGCAATTTGGACTGCTACTTCCCACAGTCTTTATTCTCAAGAGTGAGAGCTTCCAGTTGAGAGCGGAGGTCCTTGACGACCTTCTTCTCGACGGCCAGCTTCGCTTGGACATCCCTGGCATTTCCCCGATTGGCGAATTCGCGTAGGTACCAGACCAGCATGGCCCCCCGGCTTGCGATTTCCAATGCAGCCTTGGTGATGTCCTTCTTTGACATAGGTTCAATCACCGCTCATTGGGAAGAGCTCGTGTGGAAGCTCACTCGGCCCCCCACGTTAAAGGCCGGGTTGAAGAGGCCGCCCGAGAGAGGATGGGGGGAGCTATTCTCTTGGCGACTCCGCTTTGAGGACGACTTCTCTTCCTTAGACTTTCTCTTCTAGTCTAAAGCAGTGGTAGGGGGGACGGCTGCCGCCTCAGACGACTCCAGGTTCACCACAGGAGCCGGTTGCGTCACCACGATCATCACTGGGGGATCGGTCACCATCCTCGATTGCGCGGCAGTCAATCCATGACTGGAACCTCCCGATCGGGGATCCCTCTTCCAGGATGACAGAACGTAGCTAGTCTTGCGGGGCGGTGGAAGAGACATGATATCTGAAAAGGAAACATAAATTTAGCTAAGTTAATATGAAAATAATATGCAGATATTGGCAAATGTTGCATTGAACACCATTTGGTCAAAATCCTCATGCCCAAGGCATTTGACTAGATTTTGGGTAGGGAGACGGCGGGATAAGGCGTCAATGGTCTTAACCGCCTCTATCTCAACGGGGGTCATGGAGTCGACCGGCATAGCATTTATCTTGGCAGGGTCCCTCGTCCAATAAAAGGGGAATAGGGGACCGCCCGCTGCAGTGTGAAACTGGGAACGACCGCCTTCTTTGATTATTACTTTGAAGTAGCGGTGTTTGAAATTTTTCAAGGACTCAGAGTACGGCTTGAATAGACAACAATCGTGGACGAAGGTTAGAGAGACCTAGTATCGTTTGGCGATCGGTCGGACATTAAAGTAGTGGAGAAAGACGGAAACAGTGGGAGTAATCGCTAGGGCCGAACACATTGTCACAAACGCTTGAATACAGGCCCAACCGTTCGGATGTAGTTGAGAGGGAGTGACGTTCAGCCTTCGAAGCACGACCGATTGGAAAGCTGTGAACGGCACCCGAACAAACATCTGATTGAACAAATAAGTATATACAAAGAAAAAGTCGTTAGTATGAGCCCCCTTTCCGTGAAAGACTCGCTCGTTAGGATGACTAACGCCGAGGCGGATCAAACAGGCGTCTTCTCCATCCCTCGCTATGTACGATCGTTCCACCCACAATCGCAATTCCTCGCGGGTAGAAAAGTCAGACTCGTAGGACCCCACTTCATGAGAAGCCCAGTCGTATCCCCCAATCACGGGCCAGTTCTGCCCGTTCAGTGTCTATGACGATGCCCCCCTGAAGATGGAAGAGCGATATCCCGTTTATAACCCTCTCGCCGCCACCAACAGGAGACTTCGGCCCTGATCCCCCCTCCTGCTCGGGCCTTTCAAGATAAGACGAAGACACTGAGCTGGGAGACTTCGGCCCTGATCCCCACCTTCCTTGCCCGTTGAACCATCGGAAGAAGATACGCGAACAGTAGCCATTTATTATTTACCTTAGAAAAAGAATTTTCAGTCGAACAACAACAACAAAGGAAAAAGAAAGTGTGTGAAAGTGACTGAGCCCTGCGCCCCTATTTATAGCAAAATTTTTGAAACTGCTGATCCGTATCCACCGTCCAAATCTGGCACGATCAACGGTTCATATCAAGCGACGATCCCACTACTCGAGACAGACGGCCTATGATAACGCGACATGTGTTTTCCCGCCCAAACTCAATTCAAAAAAGTGTCGACCAGACACTTGTTACTATAAAACCCCACGACAACTAGTTGTCTAGGGCTTGGGGGGCCTGATGTACCTGATGACCCCCAGACGACTCAAGACAGAACACAGGGGACGACCGGCACTCAAGTACCCAGACCGGACGGTCATGACAGGTAGGTCTGTAGAGGTGATTAAGGTAAAGCACCGATTAGAGGGTTGGGCTCTGGATTGAGCCATGATTAAGGCCTTGCTAATCCTAGGCCCATGACCAAAATTATAAATACAGGTTAAAGGTAAGAGGTAGACAAATTATTCATTACGCATTTATTGCAGTACCTAAACAACCGATCGGACCTTTACTGACTTAAGCTTTAGGAGACCAGACAGACGCAGCGAAGAGCGCGCGGATTCAAGTGACTCGATCCCATACAGAAACAACCAAGAAAAAAAAAATCCCTCTATTGATTAGGTTAACAACAAGAAATATTATTTGCACGGGTTATTATGTTCCACTGATCACTTGTTGACGAAGATTTTTATGCCTGTAGTATTTCATACAAAGTCTGAAAACATTATATTGTTGAAACTGTAATTTTTTGCCAGAAATTTTGCTTCATACTGCATTATTGTCTTGAGGAGCTGACATTTCAGCACTAATATGTTTACAATTTTCTCTTGCATGTTCTTTTACAGGTTTTATTTGAAGATAAGCAATGGGATTTTCTAGTGGACCCTTACAGGAGTTCTGCAAGTTATATGGCATGACGTTAGAACCCTTGCTCAATATCTATCTGCAAGCTGGGCTTTCCGCTCTCAAGACACCGTATCCATTGACAACTTGAACTGTTGATTGATTATCATCTGGAAACACTTATTTTCATGCTAGATGCTTCTATGCTCTGTGTGGATAGCCATGTTTGCATACATATAACTGAAACACCCCCGCCATCCTTCCAAAAAAATATTCAAAACAGTTGGACTTTCCTTATCCTTTTGAGGGAATTAATGGTATTAAATGTGTTAGATGTTAAAGATGTGTATTTATGTTAATTAGGTTCAACCCATTCTATATTAAGGGCATTGGCCCATATCTTACATTATAAATAAACTACCGTATATGTATGGAAAATATACCAGGAAGATTTCTCCCTATCCTCTCCATTATTCACAAAATGGTTTGCCTATTAAAGAAAATTCCTTTTGATTGTAGTGGTTCGGTTACCTTTTCATGCAGTTGTTTTAAAACCCTCCATATATATTGAAGTTGAAAAGCATTCTTTGTATGAAATTTCATACTTGACACTGATAATCTGTCTTGAGCCCTTATGGATCAATTCATGATAATGACCCGTGTTGTTAATTTGTTGTGAATGATTTCAAGGCTCATACTTGTATTACTAAAGCCTCTTGTAAATTTGATCGGTTAGTGTTAGTGTATGCATTGCTAAAGCTGAGATATGTCCCTTGACTTGATAAAGATATTGTTACGAGGATGATTGCACAAAAGAAGATCCTCTATCACAGGAAGCTTTCCGCACATTAGCCCTTCCATTGCCGTACTCAAAGCAGCATCACTCTAAGCTTCTTTGCTATATAACTAAGGAGTTAATGGACACTGAGAACCCACCGCAAGTCTTGCCCAATGGATGAGGAATATGGAACCCTTTAGCTGTTGGGACGGCAAAGGGACTGCAATTTTTGCCCAAAAGGACTACTTACCTAAATGGAAAATGTTTTTTTTTCATAATTTTTTTACATCAGTTTGTATAATAACTCGTGATTTATCAGTTTCAAATATACAAACTAATGACATAGTCTATAATAAAAAAATTGTTAACATATTATACTGTTACCTAAATTTCCTTTATAGTCGTAGCAAAATTTCCTTTACATTTATTGAAGACTAAAATTGTCCACTTGATATGTAGGGAAAAGGATTGGAGGTCACGAAGAAACACTCTTAACATCCTTATATATTTTAAAAGTACCATTCGGTAGTTATAGTTGTAGTAGATTACCCAAATTTAAACCTTATTTGTTATATTATTCGTTATATAATTATAAAGTGTAATAAATAATATTAATACTATATTTAAGTAATCAAATAAAGTGTAATAAATAATATTATATATTAATAATATATTGGAAAATGAATACTGTGTACTAAAAATGAATATAAAAATGATTATTGTGTACTAAAATCGATACAACGAGAGCGGGCTTGGAGGGTTCTTATGTTCTTTTGTTGCTTGTGTTCTTTTGTTGCTTGAAAAAACCGTTTAAGGTCAATATAATTAATATTTCTCTGCAGTCATAGAAAGTTTTTCAAAGTTGAAACTAATAGAGAGGAATAGCGTGTTTGTATTGCCTTCAAATTTGAGCCATGCGTGATGTTCAGATGCGCCATTTTTATGTAAGTCGGCTTCTATTATTTGCTCTGAGTGCCAAACTGCGTATTCTTTTCCATACAATTCTATTTTCTTACTCAATGGAAGGAGGCACGCGTGTACAAGAAGGCAGAGAGAAACAGAACTACAAAGCAAGGAGTTTTGAAGAAAAATCTATCTTAAATGTTCTTTCCATCTCATGCAGTGTTTTTTCCGCAACCCCATTATATAAATAACTCAAAAGAGTTCCCTTTACTAATATACTTCATGAATCAACAAGAACAACCACAAGAACATGATGGGAAGAAAATTCAGCAGACGGTCTCTTATGGAGTTCCCAATCCTCCTCGTACACACCCTGTTCCTCCTTTTGTTCCCACTGCCTCTACTCTCCGAACACGACAATTTCGTTCGTCAGCCAGCTGGTCAACTCATCATCACACCACACCAACGCTCCCATTCTGATCCGCAACAGGTTCATGACGACTTATGATGCAAGCATAGATCGATTATGTTAATGTTTACTTAACGTTCGCAATTTGGTTACTGTAGGTGCACATTTCATTGGTGGGGAAAGAGAAGATGAGGGTGTCGTGGATAACGGAAGCGAAGCATGCAGAATCCGTGGTGGAGTACGGAACAGAGTCAGGGGAATATAGCGCAAAATCAACGGGGGAGCATACCTCGTACCGATATTTTTTGTACAATTCCGGCAAGATTCACAACGTTGTTATTGGTCCTTTGAAACCAGGCACCACTTACTTCTACAGGTGTGGAGGGTCGGGCCCAGAGTTTTCTCTCAAGACACCTCCACACAACTTCCCTCTTGAATTTGTCGTCGTTGGTAAGTCATTGTCGTTGGGATTTGATATCAGTCTTTTGCTTCACCATTTGGTTTGCTTCTGTCTGGGTTCTACTTTGGCATATAAACCATTACGGTTTTATAGTTGGGTTAATTTTCAAGTTAATGTGAGTTTATGTGTTGTTGAAGCAACGCAAAGATGGCGAGGGACACTAATATAATTAAGGATAAGGTATCTTTTAAGGATTGAAGCGTGGCGTAAGTGTACACCATTTGTTTGGCAGATCCCTAACTTGCCTAAAAAAAATCAATGAATCACTTATAATTGTCGTTTTACCATTTGTATAAGATGTATGTGTATGGATAATGTTTTCCATAAAGATATGTGATTGTGTTGTTTATGATTGAATGCAGGGGACTTGGGACAAACAGAATGGACTGCATCAACCTTGAAACATGTCGAAAGCAGGGAGTACGACGTTGCGTTGTTACCGGGAGATCTATCCTACGCAGACTCCCAACAACCCTTGTGGGACTCCTTTGGTCGTTTGGTGGAACCCTATGCCAGTAAAAGGCCATGGATGGTTACCGAAGGCAACCACGAGATCGAGATTTTCCCCATTATTTACCCACAACCCTTCCAGGCCTACAATGCTCGTTGGCCTATGCCCTTCCAACAAAGTGCTTCCACCTCAAACCTCTATTACTCCTTCCAGCTTGTTGCCACCCATGTCATCATGCTAGGTTCCTACACTGACTTTCACGCCCAATCACAACAATACAACTGGCTCCGATCTGATATCGCCAACATTGACAGGGCCAAGACACCTTGGCTCATTGTGTTGTTGCATGCACCTTGGTATAACACTAATGAGGCACACCAAGGTGAAGGTGAATCCATGAGACAAGCCATGGAACAATTGCTTTATAATGCCCGTGTTGACTTGGTTTTTGCTGGCCATGTTCATGCCTATGAACGCTTCGTACGTCACACTTTCATTTCTTTTGTAAACTTAATCATCGGTTGTTTTGTTTTTACTAAGTGGTTAAATTCATTGCAGACTCGAATTTACGATAACAAGGTTGACTCATGTGGACCCATGTACGTGACCATTGGAGACGGAGGAAATCGAGAGGGGCTTGCGTTAATGTGAGATGTACTTGTGTTTTAATTTGCAATTTTCATTTTTTTTTTCTTTCATAGATTTATATTGTTGTATATCTATTGTTGATAACAGGTTTAAGAACCCTCCAAGCCCGCTCTCGTTGTATCGAGAACCAAGCTTCGGACATGGAAGGTTGAGAATAGTAAATGAAACACACGCACACTGGTCGTGGCACCGAAACAACGACACTGATGCAGTCGTAGCTGATGGCGTTTGGATAGAGAGTTTAAGCAGCTCCCAAGCATGTTCGATACAACAAGATGCTCCCAACGAAGAGCTATAAAATTTACTGGGAGACACGTTATAATATTGTGTTTGAGCTCAATGCACGTTTCAAATTTACGCCACATGAACCCTCTATTTTGATAACCTGGTATGAAAAATTTAGAAAATTATTCAACGGGGATTCCAAAGTGAGTTTTTAAAATTATATTGGAGTGGAGTCGTCTATTTTGAACAATTTTGGTCTCGCAAGAAAAAGTCTATAGTGCAACGGCAGAAAATGAAATACAATGCAGAAGATAATTTGGCGCAGAAAAAATATCAAACTACAGTGCTACTAGTTTTTTACATTTCAATTTCAAATGGGACCTCAAATTCCGAACGTGGGTGGACCTAGCAATTTCCATTTTTAATGAACACAAAAGCAAAGCCACCAAACATGACTTATTCAACCCTTCCAATGTCGTCATAATAATAGATATATTTTTTACACACGCCATCCCCTATCATCAGTCCACCACGGACGGTCCTGATCAACTCAATCAAATCACATCATCCAATCAACGGCGCCGATTAAATCCTCCGTAGCTTCTCCCCTTTGATCACCGGATTCGCCCGAGCTATCTCCTCTCTCCCAACCGCCTTGAAATCGAAGCCACAGGCGTGTTTCTCGGGGTACCTGTGGGTCCCACAGAACGTGGTGCCACACCGGCACTTAAACCCGGTCAACCCCACGCGCTTCCGACACGCGCCACATCGGTTCGCCTGAAGCGGTGCGCACGCGTCCGGCGCGGTCACGACCGCCGGTTGAGGGAGGGATTCAACCGGCGCAGGCGAGGAAACCACAGCGGTGACAGAGGCGACGGTTGCTGTTGCTGCGGCGGAGGACGAAGACAGAGCAGTTTCGATGGTGGATTTGGTTTTGGCTTGTTCTTCTTCCTTGAGTCGGATGTCTCTGTAGCATTTAGAACAGAGATTCATGGTGGCGGGGCTGCCGAAGAAGCCGCAGTTGTTGGCGCAGAGTCTGTGACCCTCGGGAGCTTGGCATCGGTGTTCTTCGGCCATGTCTGGATCTGTGAGAAAAAAATCCACAACGATGCACAATATTTGAATGATGGGATTGATGATTGGGCGAAAATCGGAGGAATAATTGAAAAAGTGATGAATCTGGCGTTTGGAATTATTACGTATAAATAGAGAAATCACAGATTGGAAATTGAAGAAAGAAGTGCCGAAAATAGGGGATTTTAGTTTTGTACAACGAAAGTTACAAGAAAACAATTCTTTTAATTTAAATTGTTGAAAAGAAGATAGAAAAATAAGGGTTGTTGATATGGGAGAAGAAGGAGAGAGAGTCAGTACCTGATTTATAAGGAGTGATTGTGGGTTGGGGAAGAAGAAGTGGAAGATGAAGAAGAAGATAAGAACGAAAGTGGGTAGAGGAAACACCAAAGAATCTTAACGGAGAATGATTAACAGAGTCGGAACTGTGAAAGGATATTAAAGAAAGGAAAAGAGGAAGCCACCGCGAAAGGAGACAAATTAGTGTTAATCATTTTGAAATGCACCTTCTAAAATGATATTATTTATTAATTATTAATTAATTAATTAATTAATTAATTAATTAATGGAACGGAAGAAAGTTACATGGTGGAGATTTGGGAGGAGAAAATTATGCATTATGGTTAATTAGATTTGTGATAAATTGCTTTTAAGTAACGTGAGAATGAAAAACAGACAGGCTGGCTTTGACGGCAGTGTTGTGGTGGAGAAGAAGGCAACCGGCAGATTAAAGTTCAACGAACCTCGCCATATATTTAGAGACAAATACTTAAAACTACGTCACGATGTTCAGATTATAAGTAATAATTAGGTCGCTAATTACGAGTCAAATAAATATTTATCGACGCGGAAATGCATTAATTGAAAGAAAAAATGCGTTTAATTGACAACGCGGTAGAAAGATAAAATAAAATAAAATAAAAAATAGGATGATTAAGTTGAAGCGTGTTTGGTGAGAATGCATTAGACTCATATTAGACCCACCCCGATTAATTTTAAAATAAGAAATAATAAATAATAATGAAAAAAAGAATATGCTCATCCCATAATTTAACCAACGTGCCGAATTCATTTTTCAAGAAAAATAAAGATATTAAGCAACCTGGCTGTCTTCTGCATCGTAAATTCTAAATGACCCACGCAGCCATATGTTCAGTCACACAACCCTTAATTTACTTTCTTGTCTACAGATAAAGGATTCCTGTCTTAACTAATATTCCTTTTTTTTTTACAAATTATTCCCCCTTAAAACTATTTATATAATTTTTTTATTAAAAAAATCTATATCAACTTTTATTAAAGGTGTCTAAATTAGTTTGGTCCGATGACCTGTCCGCACAACCCAAGAAAAGAGGTTGGTCCAGACTATATAAAAAGTTTCACAAAAATTGATTCCAACAAAATATGCCCTAACTCATAGATTTTTTTTTGTGTCGACTCCTTTTAATACAAAACAATTGTATTTTCTAAAATTGAAAATAATATTATTTCATTAAAATTTTAATATATTTTAGAATTCATATGTTAACGGTAACAAATCCTATTAACTTAATTGATGTGA